CAATGCGAAGATAAGGCAGTCAGGGAGGCAAGTATTTACACTAACTTTCCCCACATGTCAGTCTCTATTGGCACAAAAATGAACTTAACCGGTCGCAACTTATTTTTTAGGACACAAGATAAAGTTTTCCGCCGAAGCACATAATCTCAACAAGACAAATGTTGCACTCTTCGAAACCTCTCCTCGATGAATTGAGATCCCGTTTTCCACGGTCGACCACATATAAATTCATTGCAATCATTTTGTGAATATTAAACTTTTCTTAAAAAGTATACGAAAATTCAACTCGCTTGCATTATTCTCACTACTTGGAACGCGTTTTGACACTTTTGATGTCATCCTCTGTCGCGACCAATATGAGGTTCTCGTAAAGTGCCGAAATACGTCCCAAGAAGGAGGAATAGTGCATGTGAGCTGAATTTTCGTCTATTTTCAAAGAAAAATTTAATCGTTGACATGCGCGGCATCAATTTCGTGTATTATGATTTTGTGAATACGTCTCTTTACAACTTCGGGTGAAAAGAAGATAAAATTACTAAAATGATAAAAATATAAAATATTTAAAAAAACACACACACATTTACGTAAATCAAAAGAAAACAGAATATTGCATTTTCCGTCTACCGAGTATTGGTGACCAAAACGTGGAACGGAACCAAAGTCTCCAAAGATTACACAAACTATCATCATCCACGCACGCAATTATTCTTCCCGATTTTGACTTCCAAATATGATACATACGATCATCGTGTTGTATGTCGATGTGTAATTAACAATACCACCTATCTGAAAACCGGCAATTTTGCAGAGCGAAGAGAAAATTTCGTCATTTTTATAATTCTAAGGTTAGATTTGCATTTATTTCATACATTACAGCGTTATTGAAGCGCTCTACTACAGAATTAGAAAAAACTAAAATCATCAGCTTGCGTAATTTATACTGATGTAGAATGCGGCAAACTTGCTAATTTTTTTTTTCACCAAAATTGTCGGTTAGGCGCTATTTTTCGCTCGCTCTCGATATTGTATGTGAGAGTATGGAAGAAGTATCGTCACTGAAAGTTACAATATTATAACATGATAATTGATTAAAAAATCGAGCTACAAGCCAAAAAGTGGTTTTTTGTTCTATGCAGCTTAGCCAGCCAAATTTGGCATTAAAATGTAGTTACAATTATATTTATATTCACAATCCTCATTTAATTCAGCACGTTAATAAATGCATAAACACCGTCAATGAAATCCAAAGTTTTGCAGCTATGCCGGATGAAAAAGTTCTCATTGTTTATCTCGAACTGTAAAGGGCTCATCAAAAACTTAGACAACTTGAAACAACCGTATAATAAGAAGTGCAGGTAAGTTCCTCGGTTAACGGTGCAACATTCACACCTCCGCGGTATTTGATCGTTTATATTCAATTGAAATAGTTACTGTAGTTACTATGGATGCAGGATGTTTACCATCAAGACAAAACTGACGCAACAGTAGCATTGATTGTTTCAATCTAGAAACAATATACATTTTGTTCTGGACACTGAATGAAACATATTGCGATAAGTCAAGCGTTCCAGCATAGAATACTTGATCTACAGTTTTCTAAAGAGAATGCGCACAATGACCGTGTGGCCGTAATTGCTCAATATCTTTTGATAAAATACAAATTTTGAATTTGTCGTGCGGATTTATTTGCAAATGAACCAAATACTTTGAGCAAAAAAGATGGAGTACAAAAAAAAATCGATTTTTTTTTTTTTTTTTTTTTTTTTTTTTTTTGGGGGGGGGGGGAAAGGGATCTGCTTGCTGATAAATTTCCCTCTAGTTTTTTATTTAAAAAGCTGTGCTTCAAGTTCTGAACTTCAATATTTTGCAAATATATTTTGTGTATTTATTGCTGACAATGAGCGTAAAATTTTATTGTTTAAGTCGGTTTTGCAAGCTTGAAATTAAATTACGTTACCTCGTCTAACACACAACGAATTGAAGAAAGTGAAAGCTCTTATGCTGTTCATAGACAGAAAGTAAGTTAAAAAGTGGGAAAAAAGTGACGAACGGCATTACTTAATTATTTCCTTCAAAGTTTTTTGAGAATTTAGCTTGAAAGTCGAAGCATCTGTTTTTTTCGGAACGTTTAAAAAAAAATGTTCATAGCTGTCCTCAAAGGAATATGTTTATTTATTATATGTTTAAGCAGAAAGCAATCTGGCATAATTTAAATATGCATGCGAAGTTCCTCCTTTTGCACTGTGGTAATATTCGTCTTGTCTCAGATGCGGGAACGTAACTGGATTTTTCTGTTTCAAAATTGGATCAATCATTTCAATTTTGACAGGAAAATAACTGTGCGATTTTAAAGCATGATTTCGCCCATTTTTGTATGTAATCAAAGGGAAAAGCAGTGAAACCTTCAGTTAAGTCGACTTGAGTTGCCAATTGGTAAACTTAGGTGTAAGGAAAAGGTTACGTTTATTTTCATTGTCATTTCTGAAAGTCCAGCGACTTTAGCCGCAGCAGGGATGGACTTAATGCGTTAGGTTCGCCTTCAATTTCGAATGATACTGTGCAACGCTCGGGTGGTCGAATAGTTGCGTTGCTCATCTCTATTCTAAAAGGTCACGTTTATTTCGTTATTTTTCCCCAAAATTCAGCGTACGTCAAATCCGCCTTCAATTTCGAGTGATATTATGCTAAGCTTGAGTGTTCGAATAGTTGTTTAAGTGTTTTGTGCGCTAGGTGAGGGTATTGATTATGTTCATTGTTTTCCCTTAACATCTAACGACTTCAGCCGTTGCAGGAATCCACCCAGTGAGTTGGTGCGTTTAGTTCGCCTTCAATTTCGAGTGATACTGTGCCACGCTTGGGTGGTGAAACAGTTGCATCGCGTTTATGATCGCTAAATATAGGTCGTGTTTACTTTTATTATTATGTTTTGAACGGCTCAACGCTCTTGCTGTGCCTGACACGACTTTAAGCATTGGGAGACAGCCAGAAAAGTATTCATTGGTAATAGGATAGGATATCAAAGATTTATCGCTGCAAGAAGACTGACTTCTTCACGGTGTGAGATTCTGTTGCTTCAAGAATGGCATGATGGGCCCGCAACAATTTCCTAACAAATATATAATTTGCCGGGGGGACATTTGCAGCGGTAAAGTGTAACTACGTTCTTTCGTCGGGCATAGACAATGAACCATAAAAAGCGAAAGTTCACGTTAGTTCAAGTTATTAGATACTGAGTAAGATAAGCAGTGGGAAAAAGGTGACGAAAAGCACTACTTAATGTATCCGAAAATTTTACAGCAAAATATTCATAATCTCTCTCACAAAAATATGTTTTGACAAGAAGCAATTTCCCAAAATTTCGCAACGTTGAAATAAAGTACGTAAGTACGTACTTTTGTCAAGTAAGCGATGAACTGTGAAATTTCGCTGACGATAAGCCCTCATTAGTTAGACAGTGAGAAAAATTTGGTGAAAAGGACTGCATTTCGGCTGTTTTGACGTTTCAACATTACAATTTGTAATTTCTGTTAAAAATTTTAAGTCCAACCCCTTTGATTGACTCGATCCATAGTGCGTCGAATTGTAGATAGGTTCGATAGGTAGATTGTAGATAGGTTGGTAGATAGGTTGTAGGTTGTAGGTAGGTTGTTGTAGGTTGTCGGGTAAACGATAAACTGAGAAAAGTGAAAGTTTCCACGAACTTTCGCTGACGATATGTGCTCATTAAATTAGGAAATGGGAAAAAGGTGGCGAAAAGCACTACATTCCGACTGAAAATGAAAGGGTAATTTCTTTCAAAATTGCACATGCAATCAGGGTAAAAATCAGAGAGATTTCCAATTAGAAACGCCTAGCATTCTTCTAATAAAGATACGGTTTTCTAGTAAAAATTTCGCATCATCGAATCGTAGACAGATTTTCCCTCGGGTAAACAATGAACTGGATCATATATAGCAAAAAGTAACCAGCGCAATAACAGTGTTTTCAAAAGGCGCAAATGTTTCTTCTCTTTCAAAAGTACTTAATATAAGTACAGTATTTAAATTCACGCTATTATTTTCCTATAAATTTAACAATTTTTTGCGGAAATCCAAAACTAGTTGCTATTCTGGGAGATTTTTTAGATAATTATTAAAAAACAACATTTTCATAACATTGTAATCGCTTTGGTTCCTTTTTGCTAAAGGCTATCCAGTTCATTGTTTACTCGAAGAAAAAAGCTCTCAACGATTCGAGATTGCGAAATCTCCACTTGAAAACTGTATTTCCATTAGAAGATTGCCAGGCGTTTTTCCTTTTTGCCAGATGCGATCCAACCGTGGAAAGTGAAAGTTCTCATTAAGCCCTCATTAAGTTTGATGGTGAAGAAAAATGTGGCAAAAAGCACTAAATTTCGACTGAAAATGAAAGGGCAATTTTTTAAAATTTTGCTTACAATCATGGTAAAAGTTAGAGAGATCTTCAATTAGAAACGCCTCGCATTCTCCTGATAAAAATACAGTTTTCTATCGAGTGAACGATGAACTGGAACGCATTTAGCAAAAAAGAACCAGCGCAATCACATAGTGTTTCCAACTTCTCCTTTTCTTTTAAAAATACATAATATACGTACAGTATTAAAATTCACGCAATTATTTTCCTATTTTAACAATTTTTTGCGGGAAGCCAAAACTATTTGTTATTCTGGGAGATTTTGTAGAGAATTATGAAGGAAACAACATTTACAACATTGTAATCTCGCAGGTTCCTTTTTGCTGAAGGCGATCCAGTTTATTGTTTACTCGAAGGAAAAAGCTCTCCACTATTCGTGCGATTCTTATAAAAATACAGTTTTCAATTAAAAATTTCGCATCGTCGAACCGTAGACAGATTTTACTTTCGGGTAAACGATGCACTGGCTCGCATTCAGCAAAAAGTGAAAGTTCTCGCAAAGTTTCGCTAACGATAGACCCTCATCAAGTTGGAGAGTGGGAAAAAGGTGGCGAAAAGCTACTACTCACCGGGCGAAAGTTGGATCCTAGTTAGAGTCTCCATGGAGTCATCGGGCGGGAAATTGTCGCGAAGTTGGGAGGTAAACAAACTGTTGCAGGCTAATGAATAACCTGTAATTAGGGCTAATGACCGCCACCGGAGTCGGGAGCCCGGGACCGACTCGCGTCGCGCGACCTCGGGACACTGAGCACTGAGTGACTTTAACTCGGACCGGGGGCAGCCTGACTCCCGAATTGTTTCCCGGCTAACTAGGCGCCTCATTTAGACCGATCAGCCCGATACCAGGATCCCTATCGATTCTGCTCAATAGCTCCCCCGAACCGCGGATGTTTCCCTTGTTTATTGTTTAGCCCGGTTGCTATGAGAGACCACGTGTTCCGCCACGGCATCTCCGAGTCGCTTGACCTGCTACTGTTAGTTTAAGCCCCTCCGTCGTGGCAAGATCACCGTTTTCTCCAGCGTCCGGTAGATCCAAAATATTTAGGGTCAAATTGGCAAAAAATTCTTTGGTTTGTCAGCTCACTATCGTATTAATACTAAGGTGATGAAATGGATTGCATTTAGCAACAATAAGGAGCCAGCGCAATCACAGTGTTTTCAAAATCGTGCAACTTTTTCTATTCTTTTAAAAATACTAAAACGTAAAATATTAAAATTTAATACATTATTTTCTTTAAAATCAACAATTTTTTTGGAGGGAAGCAAAAATTATTTGCCAATCTGAGAGATTTTTTAGATAATTATGAAGGAGCAACATTTTTACAACACTGTAATTGCGCTGGTTCCTTTTTGCTAAATGCGACCCCAATGGCGTTGGCTCTACACCATTTTGGGAGAGAAACAACGCCAAAAAGTCAACTTAATATTCCAACGAAAGCTGCCTGAGCTGAACATTCTCCCCCCTTAATCTGGTCCTCATTAGAGCTCAACAATTTTTGACTCTAATTGAGAATTTTTTGGAGCCTTTTGGCTTTGTTTTCCCCGCGAAATGGTGTGGACCCGGCACCATTTTATCACCTTGTTACATACAGTTTGGACCGTTTATTAGTGTTTTTTCTCTATAATACTAAGCCCTTTCAATGAAAAAATGGTTCTGTTCATAAGACTCATGCAGTTTCCATTAAGGAGACATAGTATTAAGTGCTTACGACTGAAGTTCAGTTCTCACAACAGACAATTGCTGTAAGTAGAACAATGAGAGTGCAGAAGCCCTGTGAACAGTCATTAGCACCGACTACTTTTTGCTAGTTTCTCTGTTGTCTACAATACTTTCTAATTATTGAAGAAATCTCGGGTCAACATTTGAGCTAAGTTCTTTGACACATCAGATCAATACCGTGTTAATATTGAGGTTACCTTCTTGGTACAATGTGTAAACTTCTCCCTTTGAACAATAGTTCCGTACTAAGGGAAACGTACTAAGGCGTTTTTTATAAAAATGCAGAGAAATAAAGCGAAAAGCATGATATATACATAACAAGGGACTGTGCATATGTTGGAGAATGAACATAATTCAGATGGACAATTTTTATTAATAACTCATTTAATTTCAACAAGTAGGTAAGCAAAATATCGTTCCTTAGATTATTTTGTGATCAACAAAATCTGTTGATGTACATCGTTATCTTTATTGGCAGTAAAAATCCTGATGAAATAAAAATAAATAAATAAATAATTATTCAAAGAAATTAAAGAGAAAAACATTTCAACTGACAAAGGAGAAAATAAACAACCTCTTACACGTCAGTAATAAAAGTGACATCTATTATCAGTGCAAATTTTTTCTAAATTTTAATATGTACATAAGATAGCAGAAAACTTTCGCTCATGTAGGGCATGTGTTCATGTATGTTTAAACGCCTGAAACCTGAAATAGGTTTTTATACTACTGTATGCTCAATGCAACATTTTTGGTTCTGATAGGCCCCGTCTAGAACCCAATGAAGCTATCAGAGAGAAGTCGTACTTGCAACTCTGTTCTTGTGCGAATGGTTCATTTTTCTCTCTAATATGCTAGCCTCAATTTTCCCTATAACCTTCGCATTGGTTTATCCAGATAGGTCATATCAGCAAAACCAGCGCCGCATTGCGTGAAAACTCTGGCTCACCCAGGAATTTTGAAACGAGAATAGTTTTTGGTGGAAAAGGGCTTTTTCATGCCAGAGGACCTGTTGCAAGTACAACCCTCATGCCGGGATCTGGTTAAATCGAGATGAATCTTAGAACACTTCCTTTCGGAAGCTGAATCCAAATTGATCACACTTGAATCTCAGCGTTCTGCCAAGTTGAGGAGGTCCACAGTAGAACACGGTAACTTTTCCTTTCTTCTGATCCAAAAGTTGCTTGAACACTTTGTCCCAGTTTGGTCTGCCTGCATTTGTTCGGGTTTTCAATCCGGTGATTAGATCTCTTTTTTCCTGTGGAAGAGAGCATAAAATTCTGATTAAATATCAATAAGTCCTATTACAAAATTTAAAATTCTCCTCCAAAACCATATTCAAGAACCACATACGCGTAGGCAGAGCACTGACACATATGTCGTTTCTAAAGTGACCTAGAAACAATGACTCCTTGTTGCAATATGTTTAACCCACTCTCAGTACTTACAAACACACAAATGTGAATAATCAATGGACACAATCGGAGAAGAATTAATATNGGGGGGGGGGGGGGGGGTTGGCTCGAAAAGTGTTCTTCTTTTACGAGGATTTTTGGATAAGGGAAGACTGAATACCAAATTTTGCCCTCCAGTGGTGCAGTCACACTGCACATCATGAAGGAGATTTTTTGCATCAAACTTAAACTCTCAAAAAGGGAATAATTATCAGAAATTTTCTGGAGAAAAACTACTGCGCCTCTTTCTTGCTGAGAGTGCGCTCCAACCCATTTCCACCAGGTCGGAAAATTATAGAGCCCTAAACATGATTATTTGGAACTATCTACGAACATATGTTTTAGATGATAACCTTTTCGTGAAGTAGATCTAAAGCCAGTTGAAGCCCAACCGCTTTCATATCGGTTTTTTGGAGGGCAGATGTGATGTACATGTGCATCTCCAAGAAGCGCTCCATGGCTCCGCCCAATTCGGCCTGCTCGATTTCCAGCTGGGACAGTAAATTCACAAACCATTCGAAAGATCTCTGATCTCTGTTGATCCAAAAGAAGTCCACCTAAAAAAGAATTATAAAATCATTCCATTATTAGCATACTTATCCTTTTTTTCGAGGAAGTTATTAAATATTATACATACTCAAAATTTATTTCAATAAAATAATGAGTTAAGGTTGGAGGTCTGAAATTGGACTGCGACCTGGATTTTTGAAATTTATCGTGACTTATTCTACGGGAGACCAAAATCATCTGCCACTTGAGACTTAAAGTCCAATTTTTCAGGCCTACGTGTTGAAAAAGGTCTATTAAAAGACCCTACGTTTGTACATAAAGGTCCCTCTTTTCGTTTTCGGTCACACAGACGTTCCTTTTTCAATGCAGATTTCTTGAAAGTTCAATTTTTGGAGGGTATGGACTCGAGCGACATGAATCGATCAAGAAGTTAAAACGTGAATCAATCGACACCCATTATGTCGACAAATTATTAAAAACCGGTGTCAATTTGCACGACATAAATCGATCGAAAAACAAAAACGTGAATTCCGACACCGATTCGATCGCCAACCGTGAATCGACCGACAAACCCGAGAATCGATCGACAAACCTGTGAGTCGATCGAATCACGTCGATCAGTTCACGTTTTTGTTTCTCGATCGAATCGACACCGGATTTTCAATAATTTGTCGATTGAATCGGTATCAATCGATTCACGTTTTCATTTTTCGATCGATTTATGTCGATCGAATCCATACCCTCCTATTTTTTAGTGTTAATTCAACGCTTATGATTAAAAGTGACTCACTTTTCTTAAATGCATGATCGTGGGTGGAATGTCGCTGGCCCAGGTGTATTTGCACTTTGGACAGGAGTGCCTTGCTTTCCAGTAGCGATGCATGATGGATTGCAAGATGGAGGCAAATGGGGTGACTCCAATTCCTGTAGCGATCAAAACGGCGTGCTGGGCGCGGAATATATGACTGCTGGGTGCTCCATATGGACCGTCCAAGAATATCTGTTACATAAAAAACAACTCAGCATTAGTCTGGTAGACTTGGGTCTTAAGAATTTTAATAAAGGGTGATCAAGACCACCCTTACCACACTTTTTTTTTTGTGTGATTATTTTAGTTGAACGAAGTCGGTGACAGCTTTACTGCCATAATAGCGAAGAGAGCCGTAAGTGCAAAATTTTCGAAATCGAGTTTTCTTCAAAATTCGTCTAAAATATTTTGGATGAAATTACTGAGACAGCTAAAACAGCAAAATTCATCCTAATTGAATGAAAACGAGACGTATGTGAAAGCCGTACCTAAGTGCACAAAATATGACATAGTTTTTTTCAAGACAGCCGCGGGTGCATGAGAGCCAATGAAAACAGTGCTTTCCAGTAAAGTGCCGCCCTCTTCTGCCATTTTCTTACCTGAAAATGTGTTTGCTGTGCGTCCAAAACGCAACAACGAGGGCATACAGAAGATAGCACTTACGGCTGTTTTGCCTAACAATAACCTAGCATGAAAATGGAAAATAACCTTTTTATGTGATGGAAATAAAATCAGTCGATTTTTCATCATCCATACGATTTCTAGGCGTCTTCCGGACGATTAGTGGCAATTTGACAAAGCACGGAGGCTTCTTTCAATAAAATGTTCCGGTTAGAAGCCTCTGAGCCCGTTTCTCAGAACTTCATTTTTGCACTTACGGCTCTCTTCGCTATCACGGCAGTATAGGAAGATTATGGAATCGACTCCAAGGTATTCTGATCCATATATCCGAGCCGCTTCCCACACATTCTTTGAGGGTTGAAAAAGGGGGGCGGGAGCCCTGACTTTAAAAGTCTAGATTTCTAGCAAAATATTGACATTATCCATGAAGGAAAGTGTGGTTGATTTCTTGAGAAAAAACATAGGTACTGTTTCCGAGCCTCTCAGTTGATTTAGCATCTTGTGGAAGGGGGCTCTCCGGCTCAGCGATCTACATACGGAGGTCAAAATTTCGGACGTGGATAGGCCGATTTTGTACCGAAAAAGAAGAAGTTCGCATTTTGGAGCACCCGTTGAAAAGTGGGACGGAGGAGCCCTGCTACCCCAAGCTAAAAATAATAAAATAATATTCGCATTACCTCTAATGGTTTTCCGACAGGATAATTAATGTGTGCCGGACGAGTGTGTGGCGTTTCACTAGTTGGTTTATGTTGCTCAGTCTCGAACCTTCCTTCCTCTACGTTACTTTCTAAAGAGAAATTTGTCGACTGAAAAAAATTAATAAGTCAAATATTAAATTTCAAAACATTTTCATTTTTTTTAATTACATTTTTAAATTTACATTTCATTTTTTCTTGATGACATTCTGCTGATATGAAAGTGTTTAGTATCGCGAGTTCACGCCTCGCCCCATCGCACCTCCGATTTTTCAGATGCAACACGGACATCCATCAAGCTAAAATAGTTGTATCTCTGCGCCGTCATCAACATGCGTCTTTTCTCTCGCTCTATTTCCATGTTGTGTGGTTTTTGTTTGTCTCATTTGTGATGGTGCTCGACATACTGATTTACGGCTAGTACGGGTTAATTTGACCCAACTTGGAACTTGGTGGATAAAAAAAGTCTTGGGCATCCAGGAAGGGTTTTGGTTTGCTTCTCTACTGCAAAATTTAAATATTTTTAATTTCCCCGGGGTTTCTAGCCGATGATGTGCCCCTTCAAGGTGAATCCTGCGTCCTTTCCCCTAGGCAATATCTCACAATCAGCAATTCCAATTTATGTTCTCATTTGTTCATTTCCAGATCCTGTTTTACACAATTAACTCAATGTCTGCGTCTTTTTTTTTTCAATTCAAATGAAAATGTTTCATTTCTGTCAATTTCTTTATAAAAACTGTTAATAAAAAAGTACGAAAAAAAGGGTTTTAGCGATAGTTAAATGGATTGCATTTTGCAAAAAGGAACCACGAGCTATGTCCTAAGATTGCGCAATGATAATGTTGCTAAGATTGTGCAACTTCTCTCGTCTCGGAAAAAACCCTGGTAAATCCATTGACAGGTGTTATTTTACTCGCTGAAAACTGTGAATCTACGACAAAAATTACCATGTAAATTTATATTTTTTCGTGATTTCAGTTATTTTACTGCAAAGGATGAAATTGCACAATCTTAGCATCATTGCAGTGCTTCTAGTTCCTTTTTGCAAAATACAATCCAAATATCGTTTGTTTTCACGCAGTTACTCAAGTTTCCCTGGGTCAAAGCTCAAGCGTTAGAGCAACAATTACTGACCTCGTCAAAAAAAGCTGATATTGAGGAGGAAATGAAGAAATATTCATGCTTACAGTTAATTGAGACAACGGCTCACCTGTCGACTGAGAATCGATAAAGCTGATAGTTTGGCTTCACAACTTTCCAGACTTGGCGTTTTGAAAGCGATTATAGTGGGCTTGTTCCGCATGTAGCGGAAACTTTGGGCCAAAGACTTATTTTGAGGGCTCAGGTACGCAAGACCTAGGGATTGAAGTCTCGCCCGTTTCATTTGACATTCGTCGAAACTTTTCTCTGACTCGGATCTTTGGTATTCTCGCAGCCTAAAAAACCAATAAGAAATCGTTGATGACAAATCAAAATTGAAAATGTAGTGTTGTCTATAAATAAACAACAGAAAAACGAAAATCGGCACTTGCACTAGTCACAAAATCGTGTAAAAAATTAGGCTCATCATTCCAAAAAAATCCGTTTCCGCAGCAGTCTCTGACTTGTTCTAAGATAAATACGTATTGTGCGAGCAAGCAGTTCATAAAGCTAGGTAGTATTTTAGTTGCGAGGAAAAATAATAAGTCGTCACCTTCCGGCCAAAGTATCACAAGTGAGCTGCGACTTTTAAAAATTCCCGCTGCCATTTTACTTTTTTACAGAGAAAATGTTTAAAGAAGCTGTTGGAAAATTTCACCTATTTTTTCTTTTTTTGTGCTGCTGAAAAAATTCACTGAAATTTTCAAACAGATTCAACCAACAATTTCTCTGTAAAAAACAATTTCTCTGTTTTCTCTGAAATTCTTAAAGGTCGAATGGCGCTTGTGATGTTTTGGCCGGAAGGTGACGAAATGTCACCATGTAATTTTCTCATGTGTTTGTTGATGGTGGCGTTAGTTTTTAGCATGTATTTGTGACGTAAAAAATGCCATGATAATTAATTTTTTTTCTAGGGTGTAATGGTCGAAATGGCCGAAGGTCCTGGTAATTTGCTAAAAATTCATCGATGTCTTTAGAGTATCAATAAAACACTAAGATATTGATAAATACTTTTAAAAACAAATTGGTAATCATCAGCCTTGAAGTATTGAATTGTGAAATTTTCCACTTGATAATCTGCATGATAATTGCAGCACTTGTATAAGAGAAAATGCCAAAACTTACGCTAAAAGTCTATCCCTTTTCTTTGATCTATTTTCCATGTCCGGCATTGAGAACGATTTCTCCAGCGGTGTTTTACTTGTGAGTAAAAGTTTGTGGAGGTTCACTGGCTGAGGTTTTTTTGGGCCGCTTCCAGCATTGAAAATATCTAAAATTAAAGGCAAGATGCTCCAAATAATCACATTTATACAGAATGAAAACTGATTCAAAAGGAGAAACATTAATAGTATTCCTTCATTTGATCTCAAAATCACTAATAATTGCAATACTTCCCAAGTATTCTTTTCAAAATTCTTTTGTGTAGTAAAACTATGATGCTTCTAATTTATGACACTGTTTATTTAATTATTTATTTTTTTTACAAAGTTCTGTGATTGCAATTTAATTTAAATTTGTCATTTAAAAATTAGGCGCAAATAAAAGCACATTTCTCCAAATAGTTTGAAAGTTTAATGCTCCTTGATTTAACAAGGAGAGTAACATGCTTTGTGCTTTGAAAATTCTCACCCATTGGACTTTAGGAGTCCGGCCGCACCTCCTACCCCCTTTTTTTAGCTGTATGTTACTTTTGTAGTAACAATTAATTATTTTGGTGCCGATCAAAATGCAGTATTGGTAATGGGACCAAAACATTTAAAATCGCAAGGTAACTTTTTTTGATGCTCATGTCAGTGTTAATTGACTTATCATTAGACATATTTGAGAGAGATATCTAAGTATCAGACTTAAGTTTCTACATTTTCCTTCAAGATTTTTTATAATTATTATTATTATATATTTAAAGCAAAGTTGGGATTATGACCTTACCAGTGTTTGAACCGGCATCACTAGTGGAAATATCACTGTCGGTTGAGGCAGTCATACGAATATTCTCCGGTAAACTAGAGAAGCTCTCGTTGGTATATCCAGACATATCTCTAAACATTACCATTTTTCCTCTCACGTTCAAACCACTGTCTTTCCGTGAAAACTGTCGTTTTAATTGCCTGTTAAAAGTAAAGAAACCAAAAATTACCAAATTTTATGGATATGAAAATACCATTTTTCTAAAAAATGAACAAGACGGAAGCAAGTATTTTTGAACTTATTTGGCATCTAATAGTACAGTGACAATGATTACCTCGATACTGGCATATATATAGCCTGAACAGTTTACTATTCTGAAATTAGTTTTCAATATAATAAGATAGGAAGGAAGTATTTAGGAAGGAAAGGAAGGAAAGGATCGCGTCAGGAATGAAACGGTACGGGAGATCATGGATGCCAAGCAGACCATCGTGCATGACATTATGACAAAACAACTAATTTGGTATGGTCATGTCCAGAGAATGGCAGGAGACAGGTTGCCGAAGAAGGTCCTTGACTGGGTTCCTCCTGGGAGAAGACGCAGAGGGCGCCCAATGAAAGTTTGGAGGGAAGGGATTGAAGCGGAAATGTTAAGGTGCTCAATCCCCCATGATTTGTGGTTTGAAAGAGAGCAGTGGAGGTTAGGAGTCGTAGAGCGCGAGGGAGTGCTGTAAAGCGACCTATATGTATGTAGGAAGTATTAAGGAAAAGCATACTCCTGGAGTCGTTTTAGAGCCGTATTTGGTTCTGGAACTGTGGCAACTGCAGCAGCGGGGGTTGGTTTGGGCTCAACAGTTGGTAACTCTTGATCGATGTTATGCAATTTTTCCTGTTCCTTCTCAAAGTAGTTGTGCAGTCTATTGGTCCATTCTCCCACTCCTCGGATATGAAGCCACATGTAGTCTGAAATCACAAAAAAAATGGTAGGTCATGATTCACCAAAAGGTGTCAGCAGAATATTAGGCCAGGTTACTTTTGAAGGAAAGTTAACCCAACGGTTCAAATTTTTTGTTCCCAAAAATTATTTGAATAAACTTGATTATTTTCCATGCAGAATTTAACCACTGTAAACGAGATGGAGTGAAAAAAGGTACCAATACATCATAATTTTACGTATCTGTATCAAACTCATCATAGGAGGAGTAAGGGAGAGGGGGGCTTGGATTGGCAGTTGTTGCGGAATGCGATGCTCGTTCCGTTCTATACTCGGAATGCTTTTACATGGCGCTTCATTCCGTTTAACAGAACGAGCTATCCGGGATTCTAAAATCCTCAAAAGGAACTCCATTTGGCGTTTAGTTCCGTTTGACAGCAATACGTCCAATTTGTCATTCATCTACTCTTATACAGGGAACATTATTCTTTACTGGTCTCTTGATATCCTTAACTTAACTCTAGCTTATGGTGCATATGTATAGTGCGGAAGAATTAAAATGTCAAAACAGCAAGTTCTCAAATAAAATGAGACCAAAAATACATGCTTTTATCGATGAATGCGGTTGCATACAGATAAAGTTAATTTAAGGACGGTGAAATAGTACCCTCTTGCTCTGGTGCACTGCTGATAGTGAAAGGGTGCCATTCGTATTTGGCTATAGCAGGAACGTTCACGAACACGTAATCTCCCGGATGGAAGTCAAAGTGAGGAGGACGTTTGATGACCAGATGAGTAACCTAGAACATTCAATTCAAGTGTTGCTTGCTTATAAAATAAATAATGAAATAAAAAAGAGCAGGGATTGTTTTATTCATGCCAGTCAAAAACAGTTTCTTCTATAAAAGGAAACATTAACAAGAGGGTTGATAGGTAAAAAAAAATTTAAAAATAAATAAAAATAAAAGGTAAACGACACTTCATAGAATAATTGATAAAGATATATGTTAAGGAGAACAATGAATTCTTTAAATAAAAAGGAACTATATCCATTGTGACATGAGCCCTAAGATCCGTAATCTAAGAGTACATGCATTATAGGGCCCATTTCATAATGGACATGATTTCTTTTGATTCCAACAAGTTCATTTTAGAGTACGGAAGAACTGTTTCTTGCTTCTCCACAAAACACATATTTTTAATGGGTAACTAATTGCACATATTCTGTTGCTCTGCAAATATTTGTTGTATATGAGCCAGAATCCGTGGTGAGCAAAAATCTTTAAAATCACAAATTTAAACACGAAATTTGAATGATGGCGCTAAACATTGCAGTCGGCGCGGAACGCATGCTAGCGCCTGCAAGACTGCATGAATACTTCACGCATTGGGCGTACTCCACGGCGCGCGCTGTAGGTGCCTGCAAGACTGCATGGATACTTCACGCATTGCGCGTACGCCACTGTGCGCACTGCGAGCCTCAATTGTCGCGTTTTCCCGTTTCCCGTCTCAAAGCCCAGATCCACGAGTTGCAAGCGCTTGTTGCAAGTGATACGCAATGCAGTTCAGTTGTGCACTTACCCTGGACGGCAACAACAAGCCAGAGCTGATGTAGGTTTTCCCTCGCTCGGATCGCATTAGCGAAAAACGGAAGACTCGCTCGCCGAGATAGAGTAGTCCTGGAATGATGTACCACTTCCAAAAGTTCGGGCCATGAATAATAAGCAGTATCCAGAACGGCACGTACAGCAGATGTGTCCAGTAGAAAATCTGAATATGTACACCACAACATATGTTAATACTATGAATAGTAAACATAATTTCTCATACGTGCTTTGCTAATTTCTTCATTCAGTGTCCCTTATCGTGCCAAACTATTGAATAGAGCGAAATCGATTTGAGTTACTCAATAAAGAGAAGAAAATTTTGAGTCAAGTGCAACAGAAATGCACCAACTTGCACCAATTTTTTAACCGAGAAAAAGAAGTTTCCTCCACAAGATCCAATGCTAAAGAAAAAGTTTGATAGCTATTTTTACGTTTAAAGTACTTTTCCTCAACTTTGAATTTCCAAAAAAGCTTAGGTACAATTAATTGAATCTAATCAACTCAATTTTTTACCTTAGGATGCAATTTGGTGCATTCATTTCAAGTTTGTCCCAGTTAATGTAGTGTCTAGAATATCACTGTATTACTTTAATCGAATTAAACTCGCTCTTTTTTGTCGTTTTGCTCACGAAAGAACGTAACTCCATTTGAATGTTGCAAATTTTCCTCCCGCTAATTGCATATTAATCAAGAAAATCTTGGGAATTTCTAAATTAAAATTTCACTGATTTTTCCTCAGGTTTTATGCAAAAATCAGGGAAAATTTGGATACAAATTGCACTCGTACATTTGTGTAAAATAAATCAGTCGTTTGAGTCAATTTTCAAGCAATCATTTTCAGGAATGAAGTTATGTTCCTATGTGTGAAGTTATGATTTTGTGTATTATTTATAATCGTCGTCGGAAAAAAGAGGCTTAGTGTCGAAAAACTAAAATTTCAAAGACGGATGCCACTTCTAAGTGGATCGTTCTTAGAATATAAGCCATATTTGAACAAAAAATACCCAGAAAATGTAAAAAAGTGGAGTGAATACTCGATACTGAATCATGGTTCAAAATTCGAAGAAGGTTCTTCACTCTAATTTGAAAAAAAATAGGTCTGCTGAAAATTTATCTGCAATGAATACTGAGATTCTTACCTCATGGATAGTTACATTTACGGTTACCAGAGACCGAATGGCTACAAGGAAGGTTTAATTGGCAAAGTAAGTCGACTTTTTTTACAAATTGAATCTAGAACTAGAACGGAACCGACATAAAATCAACATTTTACAGCAATTTTCCAATAATATGTACATCCGAAAACGAGGCCTTTGATATTATCAAACTAAAAGTCTGAGCTTTTGAAAGGAATTAATATTGAGCGACCTTGAATAAAGTTTCCTTCCTGCCGGCTCATAATACACCTTAACGAGGAACCTCTCGAAAACTGTACAGAACATGGAAGCAAAGAAAACGGAAGGAAATGGAAGGAAAAAAGAAAGTATAAAGTTGAGTAAGTTTTCACCTCGATTGAAAAACTGATAGCAAGCGGAAGCAGCGCTTCTTTTACGAGCAGGTGCTTGTAAAATCATGATGATTATTAATTTTTTTAAAGTTGCTGATCCCGGGGTAAAAACCACTGAGAAACCAATTAAAATTATTTTCTAGAATTTTCACCGATTTTTCTTTAATCCTGTACTTTCATAAATAATTCGTTTGTTGCTGAGAAAAAAAATAACATGAATAAAAAGTAGTGTGATGTCAAAACGCTACGATCAAAACTTGTGTTTTTGACCATCCGCATCGATATAGAGTAAAAACACAATTTCGTAAAAATGCATCCAAAATAGAAGCTAGCACAGCACGCAAAAGGCAACTTAAGGAAGCATTGTGAGATTGAAAAACGTCAACTTACCATGAAAAAAAAAACCCACATGAATCGTCCTGAATAGTATGATATCTACCGGGCTTACAACACTCCTATACTCCTAGGAGAAATTCGGCTATTTGAATCTATAAGTTCAATTTTATATGACAAGAATGTTTGCTCAACTGAACTGAAACTTGGGTATAGAACATGATATGAAAGTTCAAGAAGATGTTTTTTTCTCCTTGTGAAGACCATGTCTTTTGACATCAAGCTTCAACTTTTGAACCTTAATTTTATTTAGAGTGAACTCGATTCTCCAACTTGCATGCTCCTACGACATTGCTTGGCCTCTTGTCGATCTAAAATTTCAGGAAGTTCAAAATTGTTGATTGTAAATTAAAAGTCAAAGCCTCATCACTTATTATAAATGGACCGCGTTAAACAGAAAGGAACCAAGCCACATCAGCTATTGCCAAATTTAATTGGGCAATCTAATTTTTTACATGAAAACGGTTGAGCGGATTTTTCTGCAAATTTCAGTAAATTTTCTCCATAATACGAGGCTAATTCCTCGGAATGTTCAAAGGAATCCGAACAAACGTTATCTCGTAAAAAATTTAATTGTCCGGTTAAACTTGGCAATAGCTGATGTGGCTTGGTTCCTTTCTGTTAAACTCGGTCCAAATGATCCTCGTCAGCAGTGACAATTCTTGAAAGTTGGTAACACTGCTGTTCCTCCATTTAAATTTATGTAAAAAAAAATCGATTTTTAGTGAGGCAGCTTGCCTCATCTGTGATCGATATTCTTAATGTATTTAGATGGAGCGTTGTCAACATGCAAAATCGCCACTGATTGTCAGTCATTATCGTAAATCGATGGCAAATAGAGAAATAGAGAGACAGGAAGAGAAGTACCTCAAAACTGCCACCACGGCGGACAAAAGTCTGAGAACAGATGAACATAATAGAGAGGATTGTGGCGAGAAGGACCCCGGTCGGGTTGGCCCAACCATCGATTAAACCGAACAGACCTGGCTCCGAGGTGAATAGCCACTGATATAGCGAGTAGTTATCCTTGTTCAGCACTGGATCATCCAAAACTACTAATCCTGTACACACAGATATCTCGATTTTAATTTTTAGTAATTAAGATAAAGTAACAATTAGAATGCATGTTCATTTAGTGTAAATCTCCGTCCCTTCGTTTTTAGGCGGGAGCCTGAGTTAGCGATCCAGTAGTTCCATTTACTGAAATATTGTGCGAGGTGGGAAAAGAGAGTATTGCTTCACTATAATATTATTAAATACATGGTTGGCAAAAACGACGGATTTAACGTTATTTTTTATCATTCAAAGCGCGTGTGCACGGACAATACTTGTGAATTTTTAAATCTGAAACAATTTTTGGGTGAAGGCAACCAAACTCTCGGAGCATTTGGGGGAGATATCGAGTGCAAGTAAGGTGAAATAATGACGTTTGCTGAAAATTCGCAATCACGGGCCTTCCCTAAATTACGTGACGCTCTGAGGGGGTTAGTGAGGGCGTTACACCATTTTGTTTTTACGTACTAAAGGATAGGAACCTACGTCACAAAAACGTCGTTGCGAAAGGCCAAAGTTGCTTAGGCAAAAATCTGAGAGAATCATGAGAAAACTTACCATTCTTACGATTCTTGTAGTTCTGCTGGTTGCAACATATGTATTTTGATTTTTTTTTTCATGAAAATTTATTTCTCTAAACCAGAGAGCCAATGCAAAATAAGCAATGTAAAGTACAAAATGCTAGTCTTGCATGATTTTCATAATTTGCTAATCGTTATAGTGAAACTGCAAAAAATGTGTTTCGTTCATGATACTTCAAAATCTCTGATCCCATCCTCTTATAAAAATGAATGACAAACCATCGCTATTTCATAGAATTATCACACAAGATTCATCATATGGAGAGGGAAGATTTCGGGAATTGACAGTGAATTTTTCAATTCAAGCAATAAATTGTGATGGAGGTCATCAGCGTCACGATCCGAGTTACGCGTTTTTTGTAGTTTTACCGACGTTGCGACCAGTGGCGTGGCTTGAATTGCGATAAATCGATTGATAGTAATTTAAACATATGATAAAGAATCGATTATTAATGTGTTCGCTGCGAACACCCTGTTTATCGATCCTTTTCCAAAGGTTTAAATGGCAGATCATTCGATACATCGCAAAGTACGCCACGTCACTGATTGCGACAGAGGGAGACTATTTTTAAGCCTTATAATGCTTAAAATTGATTTCAAGCCCGAAATCCTTTTTATTTGAGGATTAAGTGTAGAAAAAATGTATTGTAATTGTTGCCTCAGTGAATCCGGAATCGCCTTGTGAGTGATGTCGGCTCATTCCATTGTCATCGAGCGACCAAGCTAATGGAGATCTTGCAACAAATGTTTTTGTACATTTATCTGAAGATCTAGGTTAATCCTAAGATTTGAACAATCAATCAGTTTGAGCTTTCGACGTAAAAAAGAATAAACAGAGTTCAACTCAAGTATGCTTCCTTGATCCGCTCCAATATTGAAGCGCTGGGTGTGGAAAATACACTTTTAAAAGTGCCTTAGGAAATGTATGTAATTTGTTAAAACAAATGTTTTCGGCGATTTTACAAGGTTTAAATGAATATTTTCGGGACATTCAGTCAATTCTTACCTCCCTCTTTAAAATAATATTAGCAACGTTAATTCTAAATTACCGCAACTGAGAAGTGATTTTTTTACACCCAGTGCCTAAATTTAGATTGGCTCATGCATGTATCTCGATCTGCAATCTGATATAATTAAGAACCGTGAAAGGTCGGTTTTTTTCTTGAGAATTAAGACCGATGAATTTAAATATTGGAACATTTTGAGAGACATACATCGAGCGTGTACATGCCAGTGGCTGGATGAATCAAATCGAGCCGATCTTGGTTATCGGCGATAAATAAATGGCACGACCATCAAAAAGTATACCCACCAAAATTTAGAAGATGCATAATCGTGTGGAGGACGCTGTAGAAGAAAATGAAAAATCCTGTTAATTTATGAAAGTATATGTGTTGGTCCAAGGGTAGAAACATACTGAAGCCACGTGTTCGCAAAAATGTGATGCAGTGCCTCAGCATCAGAACCAATACGAACATACAATTGAAATTTAAACACTGGCCTGAAAAAATAATAAGAATTAAACTGAGAAATAAAAAAAACTAGCTGAGAGGGAGAGGTATAGGAGAGTGTATTTATTCATTTCCTTAAAATTTAAGGATCACTCCTAAAAATCAGTGTACGAATATTTAGAAAGCGGTTGCGGTTATCAGTCATTTAAAGCGCGGTCAGCTTTAGTAAATGGAGTTCCAAAAATTTTCTCGAGGTGCGAGTTTTGGTTTCTCCCCACCCAATACTGCACACATATTTCACGAATAATTTGATAGCCGCAATTCTACTTCAATATCAATTCTCCTTTTTTCGTTTGAATAGAGTATTTTCACTTGTGAAGCGTAAGTATTTAGCCTCAACAAAATTACGCTTTGTGCATTCGAGTCAGCATGCCGCTTTTACATTTTTATTTCCTCATCACTTTTCTACTATTTGCCGCTTTTAAATAGCTTCACTAAAAAAAATTGTATGCTGTTTTAGCACCTAGGATGTCAAAAATGTGTCTGGTGATCCTAAGATGCTACCATGATTGCCCACGCAGTTGAATTTGCATTCATAGGATGTAAAGTCAACTGCGAGGGCAGTAAAGGGAGCATCTTGGGATCACCAGACACATTTTTGACATCCTTGGTGCCAAAACAGCATATTATTTTTTTCGGTGTTGTTATAATTTGCAAAAGAAGACTCAATTTAATTTGCTCATTTTATCAGTCTTATCGTTTGTTGCCTCTACATTTATATTGAAATAAATTTAAGAGGAAAGTGTTAGCATGCCACGAAAAAATTAGGAGTTTACCCTATTACGGGAAGTAGCCAAGTGGTAGCGTTGACGATTCTCAAAAGTTGGCATCACAGTTTTCCCTCTATTTAAATCCGTTATAAATAATCGATTCTAGACCAGGTAATGTAACTTGATGAACGCCGATAGTTTTACATGTATTTAATGAGATCAGTTTTGCCACTTTGCTTAAGTCACCACTGGAGTCGCCTCAGCGAGGATAACTAGAAATTTTCTCACAGCATGCTTACAACCCTATTCCCTATTTTCTGAGTACTTTATACTTTTATTCGTAAATATAATTTTACACTTACCGCAAGCGCGAGCAATCATGACGTAGAAATTACTATGCCTATATTCATATAACCTTGAGACAAATAGACTAAAATTTACAATGAAAAATAAACTAGCAAAAATAAGGTACACGTAATTATTTTTTATATATGGTAAAGTGAGTTGATAGGGACGAAGTGCCGATATCTTCCCTAATAGAGAAGCAGGTGGGGGTTTAGGCTTCGGTGGCACCAGCCATCGGTCAATACTGAAACAAAGAAAATAAAATAAGATTAGAGTCAATACTCTGAATTAATCCGAAAGATGTTGACGCAACTCAAATTATGTAGGAATGGAAATGTCATTGAAATTGTTTGTTGAAAAGTCCTGTGTAAAAAACACGCCTTAACTTTCATTAAAATCATTAGATTTCAAGAATTGATTTTTTTAAATTTTAAAATGAAAGCAAAATAACATATACCGCATTACAAATTTTCAGCCTAAAATGTCCTCCAACAAATTTGTTGTTCCGAGGTTGTTTTCAATTCGCCTTCAGCTGCGTCCGCAGCAATTGTTGTTACGAATATGTTGTGCGTGCTGATCTCAGCCCATTACATACTTGACTCTTTGAAGGCGTTTAATGTGCGAAAGTAGAGCAGAGCACCCTGTTGGAGAACAAAAGAAGTGAGATTGAACGAATCGATTTATTCTTACTTCGCTCGTTCTCCGACAGATTGCTCTGCTTGTGCACAAAAAAACGCCTGCAAAGAGTAGAGTATGTAATGAGTTATAAATAGCACGCACAACATATTTGTAACAACAATTGCTGCAGACGCAGCAGAAGGCGAATTGTTCAGTTAAAAATAAGAGTATGATAGGAAGTCTGCATGTAACGAAGGGGTATGTATTCGATCAAAATCAAACGAGGAAAAAAAACGCGAACCAATCAACAAAGATTCCATGCACAAATCTATAAAAAAGCTGATCAAAATCAGTAGAAAACTTGCAATCACTATGAAAATTTCAAATCGCGGTAAGTCGAAAATTAGGATCATTGAAGATTTTGATTATCCGTGATTTTAAGTCCTGAAGTATCGTACCATAGACTAACCCCGTGCAAACCGTTTTTGGTACATTTTCGTCGCATTTTTTTTTTTTTTTTTTTTTTTTTTTTTTTAAAATTTTTTAAAATTTTTTTCTGGGCCTCAAGACCACTGAGCATGAGCAAGTTAGCAACAATATTATTACTCCATTTAAATCCACTGAATTTATCGATTCTCGGTGAGACAAGCTGCCTCACCTGGAATCGATTGTTAAACATACATTTAAAAGGAAGAAAAGCAGTGTTCCCAACTTGCAAAAATCGGCCACCGAACAGCGTATATTTATCAAATAGACGCTCCTCTGACGTGAGGACGTATCTCAATATCCACAAGAGCCCTGTTTTGCTTTCAGATACATTCGTTTTAGGGCTCATACCGGATTAGTGATACGCTCTAACGCCAGTGGACCGATGAAATGAGCTATTTAAATCAGTTTATCAAGTTCTTCTCCCCTAAAATGGTTACAGATTAATGCCCATTTTCACAGTGTGACTAACTATTAACGCGCCTGATCAACAGAGTCTTACCTAATGGATAAATTTTCTAAAAGTCCGCCATGCTTTTCTAGTTGGTTCTTGAGAGCCTCGTACGTAATGGCTCCCCTGGACTCATTGTCGGCGTCTTCGAAAAGTGCCATTGTTAAGTCGTCTATTTGCTCTTCGCTGAACTGCATGCCATTCTCTTCCATACACGCTCGCATCACATTCTGCAGCTCTCTGCGTTGAATCAGTCCATCCCCTTTGAAGAAGAAAGTCAAATTTTAGGAGAAATGCTCTCAATTTATTCTAGGCGATTAAAGGTAATTTCACTATTGAGCGATATTATCTAAGACCAACAGCATGGATGAAAGCACACGTCCGTGCCGTCTTGCCAAGGAAAAACACAGTTTGAACATTTGGACTTTCAGAAAATCCGTTTATATTTTTCTTCCAATTTTTCAAAGACATCAATTCGTAATTTGATATGTATCTGAAAATTTCGAGGTAGAATTCTCATAAATTTTCTTAAGAATGAATATTTTATCCGGGAAAATTCAACAGCATACGGATGTTCATGCCATGTTTCTCCCCAGCGTGGCAGTGTGTAGTATTATCCTGTCGCACTGAGAGATATTTGATACATATCACAAGAAAAAAGTTTTCCTTACAAGTTTTGGGCTGTGCTTAGTGGTATATATGTGTTGGGTTGGATTAATAACGTAACATGAATGATCAAGAATGAAAAATAAAAATAAAATTCAGTGATACATGACTGTCACGACTGAAAATTATGAAAAAGTGATTCTGACAGAAATACATTTTTGAGGGCAATATCTATAAATACATTCGATACAAAAATTTGTGGCTAAAAAAATTGCTTTCCTTTTAAAGTTCCAAAAATAATTACATTTTCTCAAACATTTTCGTCACTCATGTCAATTATAAACATTTTCTTCTTTTTTCATTTTCCATCCGTCCTCTTTTCCTGGAGATCTACGGTGGCTTGAGTAACTTAATTTGTGTTCTAATTCACACGGTGATCAAACTTGAGTGATATTTTTTTTCTCCCAGTGTAAACTCTTCTTGGTGTTTTAACCTATAGATGACATTAAGTAGTGCTAAAACTTACCGTCTAAATCATAAACTTTGAAAAGGAAGCGTATTTTATCATCGGGGGTCTGCCCTGCAAATTGATGCATAGCATCAAGGAATTCTTGCATAGAGATTGACCCAGAGTTGTCTTTGTCGAAAATTTGAAATACTCTATCTGTGAAAAATGGCTGAAAAAGTAAAAAAAAATATTCAGCATGAAATGCACGTAAGGCATTCATAATTAGTAAGTCACTGAAAGTCTGAAAAAAATCTGTAAATGGATACTTTTTATGGTCCTAAGACATTATTAACGTCATAATGCAACTATTCGTACTTAAACGATGTCAGTGTTGCATTTACTCAATTTGAAGGCGCCTGCATTCTTCGGAGTTGAATACTCGCGGCATGTCAGTCTTACGACTCTCAGGAGCTACAGACACTGTTTTTCTTCCTCATTTAAACTATCATAGGCAAACGGTGCTTACAAGTATTAAATAAGCCTTCCTCAATAAACATCGATTTTTTAAGATACGTTGAAAGGGGCGAAGTACAAAATTTTTACAATTAACTGTTTCAATCGGGGGAAAAAACATGTCATCTGATGATACATAGACACCAAATAGTCAATTATTAGATTTTTTTTTTTTTTTGGTGTGCGTGTGTCGTACTAGGTGGTTTTAAAATGTCCAAGGAAACACCGATATCCGTAGAAACATTTTGCCTAACAAAAAAACTGCACAAGAAAAAATTGGAAGAAATTTGGGAGAGCTTAGTGTTGTTGACTCACATTTTTGGTGATTAGGATCTTCTTGAAATCGTCCCTTCGAATTTCCCTCTCACTGCCGACAGTTTGCCGAAACAGCTGCTCCAGCCAATCTAGGTTGCTTTTATCAAATCCAGATCTGGGCCTAAAAAATTACGTGACCGTCAGAAACACATCTGAATACGATTAAAGCATATCATCATTCCAATTGTTGCTCTTTTTAATTTTATAAATAAGGAACATAGGATTTCTTTGGAGATAAAATGATTCATGGACAAGTGTGATTTGAAAAAGAAGTCGATTACATTATGCTAAAAAATTAGAGGTGTTCTCACCTATTCTATGGGTGACCTGAAGCAGTTATGCATAGCCCTCATACCTATTAAAATTAGATAACTTTTTTTTTCTCTAGATTGAAAGATTACTTCTGAGTTTGTGGCAAAAAATAGTACATATTTATTGAGAGGAACATTATAAAACCTCAATTATGTTAAATCTTTTAGACTTTATCTAAGAGGAGTTATCCCAAAGGTGGTCATCTTAATTCGGTCTTCGGAAGTAGTACATATAGACTCCATAGACAATTAATTTTGTAATGCATTTTTGAGAAACCAACAAGAAATTTTATTACAATTAGACAAGAGCATATTTCATACCTTGTGCTGGTAAGGGCTGCGAGAAACTCCATAATTTGAGCTGGAGTAACGATTCCATCATTATCTTTGTCAATAAGCCGGAATAATTTGTCCACGATCTGTTCGAGATAAAAAAAATCATGCATGGAAGAAGAGTGGAATCATTTTAAACATAATGTTACCTCCATCAGAAGTTCCAATGAGATATATAGGAAAAGTTGCGTTCCTTGTTATTGAAGGAGTTGTATTGTCATTTCAAGCCGCTCACCTCAGCCACTTGATCATTTTCAATGTGTAAAGGCGGACTTCAAGATCCCAATAGTTTCGAATGGTTTTGACCATAATCTTGACTTAAAATCGGATTCTGGTCTTGTTAATTTTCCTTTCAATTAACCTTTTTTCCATGTTTTTTTAAAAAAATAATGAAGAACAAGAAATAAACATTGGTAAAAAAAAGCAATAAAGAAGTCATTTGTTCGTAATCCCACTGATTCTTTCATTCATTGTAAAATTACCCGTAGGCTTGTCTCGATTTTTGACGATAATATCACCTCCTCTGATATTAGTACCTTATATCTCTGTTACTTGCCGGGTTGTGCAGCACAACTTGTGCTTTACACATAAAATGTAATTGATCTCAATACGTATAAGAGTGATTGAAGCGTCTGCCATGCATGCTAATATGAAATGAACTTACACCTTTGGCCTGGAATATTTGGCAAAATTTATCTAACGTTACTCTGTCGTCACCACAAAGCACATACGCAACACTCTCCAATTGCTCCGCTAAATCCATTTGCTTCTCGTCCCTGAAACAAATCATCGTTCAATTAAAATAAGTTAAACTATAACGATGCATGTTTTGCAATTGAATATATTCTTCCACAGAGGCTCGCTTGTCACAATCCACTAAAACATCCTTTGGTAGAACCAAAAACAAATAAGATAACCCACTTTAAATAGATAGGTGGATGGAGAAAATCGATTTCTAATTGAATCAACCAAAGTTTTTAGAAAACATATCCGATATCCTCAAAGCAATTTTGCCGTAAAATTATTGCATATATTTTTGTTGTTGCTTTTTCTTTTAAATGAAAAAAGGGAAAATTTCTTGAGGCTTAATGCATTAGGATATTGAAGGAACGTAAATTCATTCAAATGCTGCCAAATGTATTCAAGTTATTTAATTATTTACAAGAATATGACTGCGTAATAGCTGTCAAAAATTTTGCAGCATTTTGCAAGTAACCAGTTTCAATAAAAAATGGCAAAAAACCTCCTGGTAATAGTATATAAATTACCAGTGAGAATGTCGCACATTAAACGTAAGTACGTCCTTTTGCTGGAAAACTACATTATTAAGCGTGACATATACAGCGGGCTAATTGCCAAAATTGATAGACAAAGTGATAGACAGAGGGCTGATTATCAAAATTGGTAGAAAAATCTGTAGACAAAAGAGAAACTAATTAATTAAGCGATCCTATTGAAGGAATCAGGTGATTGCAGTGGACAAAGGAGTAAGTAACAAGCTAACTGCAACACATAAGGTATCCGATAGTTATTCCATCATTTCCCTCCTTAGTCTAAAACAATCACCCGTTTCAACTAATAGGAATGCACATAATCACAATGTATTTTTGTCTATAGCTTTGTCTATAGATTTCAAGAATCAGCCCGCGGGATGATCCAAAAATCCCGCACAACCCCTGTAACTCCTAATGTTCCTGCCCCTTTTCAGAACGGTCCCTTCTAAGTTGGGGCTCCAAAAGTCATTTCCTTTGACCTAGGAGCACATACAAAATGTCCAGTCTCCATCTCAATTTGTTCGAAAGATACAGGGCTGATGTCTAGTGCTGGTTGTCTAGCACTTTTGGATCATTCTGTATAAGGCTGGAAGGACCTACAGATCCCGAATGCGTGAAACTATAAGTGCTTCGTGCGGAATAGCGTTGTCCGAGAATATCCGCTGACCACCATCATTGCAAGATAGTGCGGATGATCAGCACTTTTCCCCCATTTAAACCCATGATAAATATCCACAGTTTATCGCACAATCTAGCTACTTTGCTGACCACGCTGCTGTGTTACAGAAGAGAGCCGTAAGTGTAAGTGTGAGCCACGGTTCGCACATGTTCTTACGTATCTCGAGGCTCATCCCAGGATGCATTTACTGCTCTTTTCCGTAACACGGCATAACGTGTATGAGCCACGGTTCGCACATGTTCTTACGTATCTCGAGGCTCATCCCAGGATGCATTTACTGCTCTTTTCCGTAACACGGCATAACGCCGCGGCGCACTGTGTCGGACGGAACGGTGAGGCAGGTGACAGGTGTTTGTGTTTAATGACCTCCAATTCTTATTGAATCACTGTTATTGAAAATTGGGCAGTGGTGATCATTACGTCAAGGAGGGGACGAGTAGTAGGAATCCATTCGATCTCCTCCAACATCTCCCCCGGGCAATTCTCCCGAATATCAGGACGCGTTTAAATCAAAATGAGCTATATTAACTCAGACATGAGCCGTGAGATCCATAATAATACATGCCCAACAGAATTCATGTCATGATAGATATTATTCCTTTTGATTTAAATGCGTCCGTTTCAAAAAATGCCGCGCTGAGGTGGAATGCTGGGTGAGCTTTTAGACGTTGACGAATATATTACGCATAAAAAACACGCATTTAATGGAAAATCGTGAATACTCTTCTTCCAATTTTGCAGTATATTTTGTTTGTAATTCGATGTGTTGTTAGCATAAGTTTTAAAGAGGCGTGTGTATGGCTTTTCTCAAAAATCAGTGTTTTGTCAGGGAAAAGTTGGTAATATTCGGATATCCATGCGGTATATTTCCTCAGCCCGGCAAAGTATCAAAAACTTTCTTTAGAGTTGGTTTTCCGCGTGATAATTTAGAGAGACTTCCCTGTTCGACAACAAGTCTAAAGGCACAATGTATACGAGTACGCACCTTGCTTTGTCCTTGGTCGCCACGTATTACTTCATCATGAAGATGGCATAATTTAAAAAGGACGTCTCCAAAAAGAGACTCATGGCTCCAGCAGTATTGCTGCAGCGCAAAGAATTGGTTCAATTTAAACTTAAACAGCGATAAATGATCTTCCTCTAACTATTAAATATATGCTCGGGAGTAAATTGTAATAATTTACGTTTAACACTCCATGCTAACAAGTTTATGATGATTGGAACCGGACTCCTAGCCACTTGGAAGCTAGTTTAAATTGAAGAGGTAAGTGAAGTGCAGCAACATAGTTTTTATAAATAAATCGAGGAGCACATTTCATTTTTCCTTCATGAAGATTATCCAATCGAGACTCAAATTGAGAGCCCTAGACAACAGCATAAATTTAAAGTCGCCATACTTTATATAAAGTAGGGCCCTGCATTTTAGCAAGGTATGTAATTTTCTCTAGAATCACGATGAATTAAAATATTGCCACTTCACAATATTCGCTCACTGATTATGACCCGAATTCTGCGGAGCAATGAAAGCGCGACAATCCAAAAATTATAATTCGAGACACAGAACTAGTACGGAGTTTATTGTGACTATAATAATAATTTTTGAATTTGTATCTTCTATTTCCCCGCAGAACAGGGTAAACCTAACACTGTTCTACCATGCTGTTACATTTAAGTTGATTAATTTTTTTTTTTTTTTTTTTTTTTTTTTGGTGCGAAATTTGTGGCACCATACACAACTAATTTAAATTTCTCGAGGCAAAAAATCGTATTTTCCGCTTACTCGTAGAGATTTTTTCTACCGGTCCCTGACTCGTATCAATTGCGGCGAACAGTGATCAGTGTGCCTTTTTGAAATTTTGACTAATTGATTCTAAGTTATTTATGGCCTAAACCGAGGCGTAACAACACTTCTGCCAAATCGACTAGGTAATTTATCACCTATGAACACCTCTTAAGGGGCATTTGGGTGCTTTATCCGCAAAATCAGACACCTATGCGTCATGTGCGCGGGCTAAGTGACGCACCGTATCACTTCGTTGGTCAGTTCATAAATTAGAATGGGACGTGGCTTGTCAGCGCTCGAACACCCTTCGCCGATCCTCGAATCCAACCAGTGATTTAATGGACCGCGCCAAATCCTGATTCTTTCCTTTCGAAAAGTTTTGCTGAGAATTTGTCGACGTTTGTCATTGCCCAAATGCCGCGCCAAAATGGGTTGTTCTTCAAAAAATGTAGCTATTTTACCCAAGAGCATCATTACCCTAGCATGGCCAAGGTTGCCACAGAATTTGGAAAATTAAATTCCCTGGCATTTCCCTGATTATCTTGACTTATTTTGGTGAAATTCCCTGAATATTAAAAAAATGTCAAATTTTTAAAAATACAGAGTTAGAAATAGTTTTACGGTATCAGTTGTGCAAAACGTCAAACCCACTCAAGAAAGCAAATAAAAGTGTTTTGACGATTTTGCCCTGGCATTTCCAGGTTTCCTCCAATTTTTAAAGTTCCCTGACATTTCCTGATTTTCACGATATTCTCTGACTGTATGGCAACCCTAATGACAGGCTCGGGGTTTTCGAGAAATTTGGACGAAAAAAAAAACTGAATATTGAGAGGAAGAATGAACTTCCTCAGTTTTTATGGAAGCATTTACACACAAAAAACTACATTTATAATGTAAGATTGAAGTAAGAATTTGTCTCTTTAAGGGATGGGTCGGATTTTTGTTTTGAAGATTGAAGCCGATTTAGGGTTGATTTTCTTAAAAAAACTAGGAAAAAAGGGTTTTGGTCTCCTAAGGAAACCTTTCCAATCCGCAGGTAACTAAGATGACAGAAACCAATCTTCGGTTCCTGTGACCCGAAACTTCGGTTCCCTAAACCTATGAAAATTAGTGTTCAATATGAACGATCCTTAATATATTTTCTGGAACTTTTTTTTCTCAGTGAAGGGCTACAATAAACGGATGATAAAACTGAGAAGAAAGATGATTTAACCTGGGACCATAGAAGGTTTCCCCCGAAATGTATCTGGGTAAATGTATTTTCGACGAAATAATATTATCGCTCGATGGACTAATACTGCTCGATGGGACTGCTCGAATAACTGCTAGATGGGAATTACATCAAGTGAAAGGCCATCTACAAGATAGTATAAAGTCCCTAACTACGTGTTGCTTTTATTGATTGGTTCTTGCATGAGTGGAATTCATCAAGAGTTCTTCGTTTTAAGTCCCCTTGTAACTATCTATCCCATCAAGTTGTATGTGCATACGTATTTGTATTACATGTCTTACGAGCTTTGAACCATTGCAACATACATCTTTGAAAAAACCAAATAAAGATCGATTTCTCACGTTTAAACAGTTCCGTTTTAGAAGCAACACATATTATGTTGCATCCCTATCCACATAAAGGGCTTTAGTGAACGTGCACACGCTCTTGGTTCCTTTCTGCTAAACGTAGTCCAAGTGAGAATCGAACTGTCATTTTGAGAAGCGGTACGACTCGACGCCAACGCTTCGAGGAGGGGGCGGGGGAAGGGGGAGGGGGGTAGGAGTCGACTGGTCATTGGTCAGTCGCTCTGCTCTGCTTTGACAACGGTTGACAAATTTACGCGGCTGATAAAATATCGGCGCCGACACATTTCATAACCGCGGGAAGAGGCGCGAGCTGGAAGGGCTCCAGACTTTGATTTAGTGCGAGGACAGCCGAGCTCCATTTGAGGCCCTTGTTCGGGCGTTTAAAAGCGCGTCAGCATCTGTAACGCGTGCGGCCTCGGACGAAACCGCGTAAGTGCACGAGGTTTCTCACGGGTGTGACGCGGTTTTTGTGACGAGCCGTGGAACGGGGAGCCGGGCAGCCCATATATCTGTATGGGACCATAAAACATTCGATGATAAAATGCCTCACTGTGCACGGACGATTCAGCGACTTCAGGGATTTCAGTCGCGGGCAGGACCTCCTGGCCGATCTACGTCACGCGCTGTCACGCAACGTCACGCGCACAATCCCGCTTTTTGTCTCGCGAGTTTTCTACAAGACACTGCGGGCCGATTTTTGAAACTGACAGACCAAGCAATAATCAAAGAAGAAAACAGAAAAAATGGAGCAATCATTTTGGAGAAAGCGGGAATTGAAATGGTAACTGAAGGTAACCCACGAGATTAGTCTATCAATTTTTACCTTACTCTATATTAGAACCATCCGTTTCAACCGATAGGATCGCTCTATTTCCGATTTATCTCCTTTTTCTATTGCTTGGTCTATCAAATTCAATAATCAATCAAATAATCAACCCGCAGGTCTGCCTTTATGACTTGGTCGTGGCAAGCAATAGCCGGAGAGGACTTAATTTTGCAGCAAAGAAATACTACTTTTGGCTCATTCATGGAAGCGCCCAACTGCAAAGAGAGACTAGTTTGAAACTTTCTGGTTGAAGTTACACTGTGTGATTTTTTCCTTTTTTATAAGAACAGTGGAAAATCAAAACCTGGTCAGCGCCAACACCACACACAAGTTATTTCTAAAATTGAGCAATTTTTTCTCTCATTTAAATGAATCAAGCGGCCTGAGGGTGCACACGCATGCCATGAAAATAAGATGAATATTTGCAGAACATTTTCCCATACAATTTAATGAAAGAGAGGTATCAGGTTTTTTTACACACAGCAACAATAAGCTCAATTTTAGCAACTCCTAATGGTACTTGCCAGGTTTCGAATTACCACTTTATAAATTGGTGTCGTTATTTCGGGAAAATGTAAGTCTCAATTGTACTCATTTATATGAAAAAAATAACTATATCCATCGTCACATGAGCCCTTTCATGCATGTATTTCTATGGATCTCATGGCGCATGTCTAAATGCATTTAGTTCCTATTATTTAAAGCTTCTAGTTGCAGGGTTTCGAAACAACCAATCGAGTAAGGCTGATTCACGCACCGACATGCAGCGCTAGATCTTTAAGATAAATAATAAGTGAAGAAGTTTAAAAAAAATATAGCAACGCAGCAAAAATGAGCACAAAATGATCCAATGAACAATCTGACAAATAAAAGAAAGAGAGATATTGCCGATTCATATTTCAGGAGACTATTATTTGAGAAAGCCGCAAGTTGCACAGTCTCCGCAAGTTTGCCCCTGACTCGAGCAACTATTTTAACTCTCCGGAAATCAAATTGCATACCTAACGAAATGAAGGGATTTTGAGAGGATCTAGGGATTCATGCTTTTGGTCGAGCGTCGCCTGGCCAAACGCAGTGTAAGTCGTCGCTTCCCCACGAAAAAAAACGTAACTACACCTCAATGTAGCCAAATTTCCCCTCGCAAATTGTAGTTTTAAGTACAGAATCTTGGACTTTTCTTTATAGAACTTTCAGTAATTTTTCACATAGCTTCATTCAAAAATCCGGAAAATTTTAGACAAAAATTGCACATTGGTACATTCTTGTAAAAAATCGAATTGGTTTAGTCAACTTTACAACCTTGGAATGGAGTTAAGCGTCTTCGTCCGAGAAACGACGAAGTAAACGACTGAATAAAGAATGCTCTTCCCATGTAGGTAAAAACACTGAAAATTGACAAATCGCTCAGTCGCGTTGATTTCGTACTTGGCGGAGAGTTTAATATGGTTCTAATTCTGAAATATTCGATTCTTACTGGTCTGTTTTCCCGTCTGGACTACACTTCCCGCCAAGATTGAGACGGTACCAACACAACTGCGCGTTTTGACGATTTAGAGTGGTCAGAACAGGAAGAGCATACCTTCATAGCACTTACTTTGCGCTAAGCGCCGGGTCAGAGGGTATCGAGCAACTATTTTAACTCTCCGGAGATCAAATTGCATACTCAACGAAATGAAGGAGTTTCGTGGGGACCTAGGAACTCATATGCTTGGATGGCCTAGGTTGAAAGGCCGTGCCACGAGTTCCCTCCTGTCTCCAGCAACTATTTTAACTTCAAGGAGATCAATTTGCATACCCGATGAATTGAAGGAACTTTGACTGGATCCGCAGATTTATAAATTCTTAAATTTAGGACACTTACTTGAGAAAAGCCGTTGGGGAAAAATAAACCGCTTAATTCGTTTTTCTCATTCAGAAAACTTGACAAATTTTGAGGATGATTTTTCGTGTCCTGAATTGGTTTTAAAATGTTTGATTCGAATTCAGCTAATAAATAAAATTGCTCCAAAATGTATAGAAGCAACGGATGCGTATATTAGAGGACAAAATACTCCCTAATTCATACTTCACGATTTAATGATGTAGAATTAACACGGGCTCCTATTGTAAGATTTTGACAGGGAGGAGAGGAGAGCAAAATATATCACATTCTTGCTTAACTTTCAACCAGAGTTTATTGTCAAGTAGGAAGATGTAAGGGCAGATAAAGGGGACTCCTAGTTAAAGGGTGACTGCAGGGGGTTTCAGAAGAAATGAAGGAATGCCAACTCTCTGAGGGGCTTTGGGAGGGGCAAATTAAAATTATTTTAAAATAAATTTCTGAAAACGACAACTTACGCAAGTCTTTCTTTGAGAAACTCGATCCAGTCTTCTTGTTGGAGCATTTCATCTCGATCCTGGTCAAACAGCTGGAATAGTCGGGACAACAGCTCCTGAAACATTAATAAAATCTCATTTATTAATTGCTCACCACTAAGCCTCCTCTAATATCGATTTATTTCATAGCGTTTGTACATAAGAGAGTCCAAGACTACAGTGTGCGTCAACTATCCCTGGCTGACGCATGTCCATATGATGAGCCCTGTCCGCAATACGCTCTAGACACGTGCACATGGTTCATGCCGTCCCGCATACAGTTGCGCACATAGTTCTGTTTGCTGAATTGGAAAACCGGGGTTTTACATTCTGCCATTCGTATAGTTCCCATCCATTCTTACGGCCCTCGACTGACGAGCACACCCCATCTTTCCCACCTGCACATACTTCTATTTGATTCAGGTACGAGACGAAAATCATTGCAATGGGCCACTAGACAAGGTACGAATTTAAGCATTCTGATACATGTTTCTTAACCAGAATTTCACGTAGAGCACAATTCGCGCAACGAAAACAAATGAAACAAACTCCAAACGTATATACTAAACGTAGATATTAACGATTTTGTTTCACACTGGTTAAGAGGAATTTGAACTGCCCGCTTACAAGAAACTCAAAGCTCTACATGAGTCAAATCACACTACAACGGTTTCAACAAGCTTCTCAATCGTTCATTTCCCTCTATGTGTTGTTCAAACTATAAGCAATTTGCTACAGCTGAGCCGCAGCGTCAAGATTGAGGTTGCCAGATTTTTGTACAGCAGAGACGTTCATGATAACGTTCACGAGCGATTTGAATCACGTAGAGCATTGAGTTTTCATGAGCGGTTGGTTTGAATTCACGCATCAAGAATCATTAAATATCTTCGTAAGGAGTTAATTTCGGTAAATTTCGCTGTGAGCATCGTGTTTTACGTGAAATATTGGTTAAAAAACATGTATCAGAATGCTGAAATTCGTACCTTATCTAGTGGTCCGTTCACACAAACGGTCATGGCATGTCCATAGAAGTACTTAGGTTTTCATCATTTTTTTAGATCTAGAGTCCAGACTCTTGAAAACATGGACAAGAAAGAATACTCTTGATTCAATCAGATTTTTGCTTAAATCAAAAGGAAATCCGCTCAAATTAAGAGGCTTTGGTTCTTGATTTTAGCAAAAATCCGATTGAATAAAGAGTATTTTTTCTTTTCGATGTTTTTAGAGTCCGAACTCTAGATCGAATGTGGTTTTTTTTCCAGTGCAACCGCGCGGCTCATTGTGCGATCCGTAGCGCAGCGCAGTGTCGCTTCGCGGCGCGGGGCGGCTGCTCCAGTGCTCGTCCTTGTCTAGCGCGTCGGGCGTCGGGCGTCGCGGAGCACTATTGGAGCACCGTACGAAACGTAGTTTATAGTGCGTTGCTTTAATTGTGGATACTTTGTTGATACCATAACTGTCTTCATTAAAAAGCCGTTCGCCCCGTTTACGCGTTTATGTTTTCCGATAGGAATTCCGCCGTTCCTCCTGCACTCGGCTAGATTTACATAAGATACCCGACGGAGGATGCCAATTCCCCGGGCCGGCTGCAATTTGTGCAATTAGCCGCGTCGTCGGCGACCGTAATCACCCGATTTTATTGGCCCCCATATACTCTTTACCATGTTCGGATGACTTCATCCCATCTCGCCGTAGCCTCCGCCTTTGCGAATGAAAATGTAAGCAAGGGATCCAGACTTCTCCATTACCGATCGTAGACTCCTCGCTATAGCCTCAGGACCGTATACATGTCAAGTTTTCTGTTTCGAATTTGAACACCAAGCCTTACTCAACCAACGATCTAAAAACTGTAGATTGGTGGAGGCCTAAGGGAAAAATGTAATGCACATGGAGCAGTCGTTCGATAGACGGGCGGGGAGTGAAACTGCCCGATCACTATTCTCGTCAAAGTTTAAAAAAGACTCACTTGCACGTCAAATTAATTTAAGTGGATTCATTAAATTAAATTAAGTTGACGTGTAAGTGAGACTTTTTTAAATTTTGATCATTTTCTTGTGCGGCCTCCAAAGCGGAAAAGTTACCATATTTCTAGTTTTATTTTCGTTACTATTCTCGTCTTAACCCCAATAATATAAGATCAAATACACAGGGATATAAAACATGGAAACAAGGCTGAAGCATTTAAAAATACTAAAAGGCAGGAAGTTTTGAGCTATAATCAGCTCACTTTCAGCTGCAAAAACACAAAAAATATATGAAAAATTGAAAGGCGACCTGATCCCAGCCGTTATCCAATTTTTTATTAATTTTTCGTGTTTTTGCCGCTGAAAATGAGCTCGTGATAGCTCCAAACGTCCTACCTTTTAGTGTTTTTAAATTTTTCAGCCTTGTCCACCCATGTCTTAAATCCCTCTCTGTTTGTCCGTATATTCGGGCTATGATTCATTTGTTTTAACATGGGATCTTATCGGAGTTTTCACAGTAAATGATTTAGTACTGACATTTTTATCGTCAACTAACTTGAAGAATGGTTAGGTTTCATATCCGGACACAGATTTTCAAATAGTTGTTCTTGAGTTTGATTTAAATCCTTATCCAGCAACAGCACCAAAAGAAACCATGGAAACCGATTATTCTTGTCCTAACCTAATTCTTGTTTCTGGCGTGTTACGAAATTCGCCATTGGTAACATAGGGTCAACCTACCTACATACTTTCTGGATCTTTGTACTCAACCGTCAATGTAAAAATTGATAGGCTAGAAAGAATTACAATTGAGCAAAATCCGCAATTATTTATTACCTTTAGAAATAATGTATTCGCTACTTTATTTTCCTTGCGTTCAAGTCTCCAAAGTATGTTCTGCTTAATTAGCAACAGAAACAGAAGGGTATTTTTAAATATAGACTAGAGGATCTTTCAACTGGACTATATTCTTCACTGAAGATATCTGATTCATAGAAGCACCTATCTGCATTTGATCTGCATACAGAAATCAATGGCAATTAGGTCGTTCCTAAAATGAGCTAAAAATAAAAGTTCGTCTACACACATGTAGTCCAATCGGACGATCGCCTAGCCTCATTTAATGAAAAAACCTTTGTTCCTGATTAGGCCCTGATATGCATCGGAGATTTAAACGCAAGGTTAAGAAAGTGACGAACATTACAGTAAGCAATGACTTTCCCCGTTTCCATCATGTTTTAATTTTTTTTAAAGGAGATCTAAACTATCTGACTCCTTCAACCTGATGGTTCGATTACCCAAGATTGTGAAAAAAATTATCTTTAAAATTCAAACATCATTGTTGCTCAGTATTTTGTTTAAGAATAATCTGGTATAAACTGAAACAACTTTGTACCAAGCGGACACAAACCGTGACACATTTAGATATACTTCGACCTCTTTTCAGAGGATCGAGGTTGAACGATGTCATTATTTTATGATTGAAGTAAAGATGAACCAAGGCGTTGTAATTACAATTTTGATCAAGTTGTTACAAATTAATAAAGTTTTAAAAAAAAAACACTTACAGTGGCTTGGTTTATCTTAAAGTCCTCTAATCACGGTAGATTTTTCGATTTCAGGGCTTACTGTAACTTTTTTGTGTGCACTTTTTAGGCTTTAGACCTTTTGTGTGTGTGACCATAAAAGTTGTAGCTAAGTGACCAGACCTCCAAAAGAACTCTCCCCCATAAAATAGCTCACTGAGGAACAATCAAATGCATTGGATTTTTACGTGGAGGTTTCAGAGAAAGTTTGTGTACTAATCCATCGGCTACACACATTCCGTTTGGCGTTACGTATCTATCCTCATGAAGGCGTTAAGTTCTCGTGAATGCTAAAGATTAAAGTTTAATGAGCGCTCTGTCAGGCCGTCCGCTAGATTCAATTGACTCGACCGATTAGCAGACCTGAATTAATGACGTGTCAAAATCAGAAGTCTCCACTTGATTACCTCTTTGTGATTGATTAAATACTTCAGGCACTATGTACTGAGCAGCCCACTGTTCGCGATACAAATGACTCATAAATATGAACTCATTGTCGAAGGGAATATAAACGTACATTGCTGAGAGCAATTTGTGATCTCACTTCCGCTCCAAAACATGTCTGGCAAAATTATCAAGTAATGTAATTGGTGATTAATGTTAAACTAGTTATCCGGTGTACAAAATTATATGGAGAAAAGAAAAAAAGTATAAAATTAGTTTCTGATTGATATAGGGTAGCTGTGGAAACATATACTGATGGAACACATTCGGTGTGCTTAGTTACAGCATGCGATGCTGAAATAAAAACCTAGTTGTTTCCAAAGTTGTAAGTTCCGAATTACTCGTGACTTGAGATGAGATTTGTCTTATCTCAAATCTTCGGGCTGATATCTGAAGGCTCATACGGCGTTCTTCCTTAGCACGGCAGTACTGCGGAGAGGTTAAAAAAGTGAAAAACGAGGAATTAAAATCGATTCATATTGACAAACTCAAATTGTTGATTGATGAAGAACAATCAAACCGTTCGTTTGCATCTCACTTAACTTCTGCAGACAAATGACAAATGTTCTCTTCTTCTCCGGTAGCGTTATTCTCAAATCGTCGTCCCTCTGACGTAAGGTAAATCTCAATTTCCACGTGAGCCTTGGAGAGCAATGAGTTATGTAGGGAACAGGGCTCACGTGAAAATTGAGATACGCCCTTACGCCAGAAGAGACGAAATTAGAGGCGCCTGTAAAATCAAATGGAACGATTTGATATTTTAATACACGAATTTGTTCGGCGTCCAGGGCGATAGGAGGAAAACACACCAAACGCCTTTAACGTGCTGGTTGTTTTGAGGAAATCATGTTTATTTTGACCGCGTTAAGTAGAAAGGAACCAAGTCACATCAGATATTGCTAAATTTAATCAGGCAATTTACTTTACTTCATGAAAACGGTTGTGCGGATTTCAATTACATTGTTTTCATGAAAATGGTCGGGCGGATTTTAGCGCAAATTTTGGTGACTTTTCTGCACAGTGCAAAGCTAATTCTTTAAAAATGTCAAAAGAATTTGCAAGATCAGCCTCTTATAAAAAATTAAA